AGCAAGTCACCCCCAGGTTAAGCATAACTCCAGGGTCAACATAGCAACTGGATATGCTTACCCTGGAGTTGAAACTATGAGAAGCCGACCCATAATTGAGCATTTAATTTTTTTGTCGATATATCGAAATATCGATATTTTTCAACGATATATCAAACGCCCGATACAATATTGATTTTAATTATCGATATGATATATATCGATATTTTTTTTTGATATCAACATCCCTATGTGTTGCCAACATGTCCGACTCTTTCTATCCTGACCAAATTCCCCCACTACTAAAATGCCACATTTAGTCGTAGGAATATTTATTTTCTCTTTCTAACGCAGGTATAAAGTCCTGCCTTTCAATTACACTTGGCAACACAGCACTAGATTAAACTCCGCCTCCTGCTTTTCGTAGTAATAAGTTCCGTTCTGGCCCAGAGTATCTTGTTGTCTCTATCCTATGCGATGATGATTAGTATATGTTAAAAAAAAGACCGATACATAAGATATGTTCGTGTTAGTCTGGACTACTTTTCGAATATCATCATTTTGGTATTGGGGCGGGACCAATTGAGCCTGGTCCATGGCAGGGAACAGCTGTTGAGGCCGGACTTAGATGGGGCGACTTATCCCCACCATGGACCGCCCGCCCCCCAAATCCCCCCTGGCCTATAAACATGTTGTCAACACAACAAATAGTATTTTATGAATGGAATACTCTGTCTATCTGTGATAATAGGTCATTGTTCTTTTGGTTTTATTCAAGTTTGTTGCTTTTTGGTAATTTCGCTCATGACATTTTTGAAAAAACCACTCGCCTGACGGCTCGTGGTTTTGTCAAAAATGTCATTTGCAGAATTGCCAAGCAACAAAATTTCATACCAGTTGAAGATTTTGCCAGTAGAAATATAACTAGTGCATAAAATATTTCCGGAAATTTTTGAAAATTTTGTCTGAAGCGAATTTTTTATTTTTTGGTTTTGTTTAAAAAAATTGACTAAAGACCAAATTTTTAAAAATTTCCCTTAGGAAATATTTTATGCACGTGTAATATTTTGATAGGAAATTTCCCGAGTTTAAAGTTCATTTACTATAAGTTGTGTCGAATATTTTAATTATGATGATGTGTTCTCTGATGATGATTGTTACTGATCTTTCCCATTTAAATTGCGTTTGTCAAAAAATATACACTTTGACAGATTTCTGACATCAATGCGTTTTAAATGGAAAAGCTGGTCTCAATGCCAAAAATGACAACCTCAGGAAACCAGTACGGTTTTTTGCAGGGATGTAGTACTGAAGATGCTATGCATAGACTAACATCGGAGATTACCAGCCATTTGAACAATGGTAAAAAATGTGCTGCCATTTTCATTGACCTGGCCAAGGCATTCGACACTGTTTCCCATGATAAACTCCTAGATGACTTATGGCAATATGGAGTCAGGGGAACGGTGTGGAAATTGTTTCAAAGCTACCTTCATGAGAGATCTCAAATAGTAAAAATTAATAATATTTTGAGCGTTGAAAGGGTCATCAAGATGGGAGTGCCACAAGGAACAGTGCTTGGTCCAGTTTTGTTTGTCACATACATTAATGGTCTACTTTCTTTAAATGTTAATGGATCTATAATATCATACGCCGATGATACTGTACTGCTTTTTAATGGCAATACTTGGGAAGATGTTAAAGATAAAATGATACAGGGTTTAAAGATTACAAAAAATTGGTTGGAAAGTTTTAAATTATCTCTAAATTTGAAGAAAACAAATTATATTGCTTTTTCTCTAACAAGTGCTAACCGACCTACTTTCTCAAATATTACAGTCAATAATCAAAAAGTTGAAGAAGTTTCCCATACAAAGTATCTTGGCATAATAATTGACCAGTTTCTGAAGTGGCTTCCACATATTGAGTACCTATCAAATAGAATTCGGGGATTAATTCGTAAATTTTACCTGCTTAAGCAGGTTCTGAGCAGACAAATGTTAACTGTTATATACAAAACCCTTGTTGAGTCTTTGATTAGGTACGGAATTTTGGTATGGGGAGGATTATATGATAATGCTCTTCAAAAATTAAATGTTGCGCAGAAATATATATTGAAAATTATGTATGGCAAAAATAGGTTGTATCCTACAGAGTTACTTTTTTCGGAGGAAATATGTAATATAAGAACATTGTATATGGTATCGGTAGCTGCATTTATCCATCAAAATAAATATCTTCAAAATATAATAAGCCATCAATACGAAACTCGGGGGAAGATAAATGCAGACATTGTAATTCCGTTAAATTTTAATAACATTAATCTAAGAAGTGCAGCATACCTCGGTCCTAAAATCTACAATATGTTATCAAGGAGTTTGAAGGTGACTAATAATATTTATAGGTTTAAGATTAACTGCAAGAAATTTTTATATAAAGAATATAAGAAATTTGAATATCTTTTCAAGTAATTATTCTAATATTAAGGAAATACTTATTACTTATTAAAAAAAGTATTATTACTTATTAAAAAAAAAAAGAAATGGAATCTGGTACATACAAATAACTCTGTTATTTAGGTACCAATAAGTACTTTTGCTTTGATAGGTTAATTAAATTTAGTTTCCCTTTGTAAATTGTAATGATGCTAATTGATAAATTTTGTAGGGTAAATGACATTCAAATGGAAAGATAAAATAAATTGTATGGAGCACGGTTTTACGTGGGATGTAATTTTGCAAATAACTTGTTGATTATTTTACTTGAATAAAAAATTACTACCTAAAGGTGGGTTTCCGACGGATGCCGCGCGGCATTGTCGCATTGGAAATTGCACCCGGAAATATCCCTCTCACCAGGGATATTTCCACTTATCAATTTTTGAAAATAACGAGGTAAATTTCCAGTTAAATATGCACAAGGGAAATTTCCAACAAAATTTTTTCTCGTGTTGGTATTATATATGAGAATTTCATACATCTGTCAAAACTGGTATTCCAACAATGAATTGACATGTTTTGATTGTTGATTTGAACCAATCAGATGGTAATTACGCGATAATTTGCACTAGTGCAAATTATCAGATAATTGCATACTAACTGGTGCGAAAACCGGTGACATTGACATTTTTTGACAAAAAATTTAAATTTTTGATTTATGAAATTCTCTCATTAAATACAACTCGTGCAATGGAAATATATTTATAATTTTCGACAAATTTGCACTCATGCGTTTTTAACTGAAAAAGGCACTCGTGCACTACGTGCACTTGTGCTCTTTTTCAACTAAAAATGCATTCTGGCAAATTTCCCAAAAATTATCAATAATTTCCATTGCACTAGTTATATTACTATTGATAATAGCATATATACAGGGCTCGATACAGGGTGACCCGAAAACAAGTTATGACAACTAACTTAATTTTTTTAAATGAAAACACTAATTTTTTATTTCATTTTTAAATTCTACGTTAAATTCTGAACACATTTCATGTATCATGGCCTATACCTATCTTCAACTGTTTCGGAAATATTGACAGTTGGAAATTGACTTTTTCGCAACTTTGACAGGCTGTAGAATCTGAAAGGTTAATTTTAGGGGAAAACCGATTTTACATTCGTATCTCAGATTTTTATAAACTATCATCTGATACCAACTTTAAATTTATCCATGATTAAAAATTCCAATTAAATTTAATGTCCAATTAAATTGAAAGTTGGTATCAAATGATGGTTTATAAAAATCTGAGATAGGAATGTAAAATCGGTTTGGCTCTAAAATTAACCGTTCAGGTTCTACAGCCTGTTGCAAAAAAGTCAATTTTCAACTGTCAATATTTCCGAAACAGTTGAAGATAGGTATAGGACATGATACATGAAATGTGTTCAGAATTTAACGACACTCTTTTTGGGACACCCTGTATACAGGGTGTCCCAAAAAGATACCGACAAACTTTAAGGGGTAGTCAGGGACATCAAAACAAGCATTTTTGTTTATTAATATATGTTAATACATATGTCCGCAAATGAACCATTTGGGCTGTAGAGCAAAAACACTGTTTGGTACTTTTATTCTTCGAAATAATTAAATCACTGTTCACTTATTAATTTTGCTTTATTAACAAATAAATTATGGTTTACAATAATTGTTCAAAAATGTCATTGACTCGCGAACCCTTTGGAATATTCCGGGAATAGCTTCTACATGGGTATAACTTGCCAGTATCCTTGCTAACAGATCTTCCTCATTACGAACAGGTGTTTCGTAGACTACACTTTTCAGTCAATGACCCGACGGTGCAATTTTTGCATTGAAGTAAATGGTCAACATTTTGAACAATTATTGTAAACCATAATTTATTTGTTAATAAAGCAAAATTAATAAGTAAACAAACGGTGATTTAATTATTGCGAAGAATAAGAGTACCAAACAGTTTTTTTGCTCTACAGCCCAAATGGCTCATTTGCGGACATATGTTTATATGAACAAAAATGCTTATTTTGATGTCCCTTACTACCCCTTAAAGTTTGTCGGTATCTTTTTGGGACACCCTGTATTATTTTATCAAGAACTATAGAACTTTACCTTGAACTTTACCTGGTGCTTGGACCAAGAAATTACATCATCAACTACTCTAAAATTAATAAAGGGTGTAGCATCCCTATTTTCATTTTTATTTTTTTTTTAATCAACTCCTACTGTGAAAGTATTATTACAACCCGCTGAGAACTACATGACTATAATACATAGATTGATACATATCGTCAGAACTGCTCTAAAATTAATTGAGGATGCATCATGAAGTCAGCATCCCAGCATCCCGATTCTCAATTTTTGAATCTTTCAAGCTTAATTCCAAGTTTCACTGCAGAACTATTACTGCACCCCTTAGAGAACTATGAACTTTCCCGAAAGGCAAGAACTCAACAAAAAGTTGAGACTGCTACAAGTTACGCTATCTATTCAAAGGTTCCTTTGTCGCCTTGTCCGTACTTATCAATGTTAATATCTATAAACTCACTCTTGGTATTTTTAATAACTCGTCCTGTATAAAAATCTGCAACAATATACTTTATAACCAGATTCCTTTTCACAATAATTTTCATGAAAATGGGATAAAACTGATAAAAGTTTGCATGCGTCACACATCACAATAGTTGAAAAATGTCAAGAAAAATGTTTATTCAATTGATGTTGAGAAGTAGAAGCTTCAGTTTCGAGAAACAAGAACCTAGAGCCAACATGGAAAAGCAAACTTACAAGAACATAGGTGAATAAAAAAGAACATACTTACTTCATCTCTGAATACATCATGAAACTCAGGTACAGGTACTAAAGCATCCTCGTCAGGACTACTCAACAGCCTCACTTGATCAGTAGAAAATATATTACACAAATCTATAGGCCTATGACTATCCAATATAAAAAACACTATATCATCTGCAGCCTCTAGTTCTTCTACAATGTCTATAGATCCACCACAGTTGAGTAGCACAAAGTATTTTACATCTTCATAGTTTTCTGCGTAGGCTTTTTTAAGGTCTTCTCGTCCTTGGATTATGGCCAAAGTGTAGAGGATGTTGCAGTATTTTAGGAGGGACTGAAGGATTTTGCACGCACAAATGCTGTCGATATCATAGTGGACCATTAAGAAAATTCTCTGGAAATTAGGGAAACATTTGCAATAAACACTTTACATAAAAACAGGAGGACCTTAAAGCCTTAATACAATATTTTTGGTTATTTTTATGAGAAAATTTTAGAGTAGGGTGCTAGTACTTACTTTTCCTGCTAAAAACTCATAAAACTCTTTCTTTAAATCCAGCACATACATGGTAAAACCAAAAAAAACTTATTTTTTGAACATCATAACATTCTTAACCAATTATTTGAGTGAAGGAACTGGACCATCGCGACCGCGGCCCGCCAAAAACCGTTTGAAGCTGTCTGTCAAGTCAAAAAAGCACAACTGAACTTGTTGCCAGCTCTATTCAATTTCAGATTATTTCAGAAGTTGCGTTAAAAGTCAAAAAGGGCAAAGTGATCAGGCATGATTATCAGGATTAGGATATAATAAATATTAAACCAGTACCGAGCATGAAATCACTCTCAAATAAACAATAGCCTATACATTTTTCTCCTATTTTCTTATTAAATTTGAAAAAAAAATCCCAAACAATATTACGCTAAACGTTATATGTCTGACACTCCCTAATATTCATTGTCAAAACGACGAAGCCTCCCTAACCAACACATGCTTTTCTTTGAAGTTAGAGGTTATGTTTAATGTTTACAAAATAAAATCATTTTATTTAAAAAATATTTAAACAATAAATCATGTCACGGCCAGAGCATTTGGCACCCCCTGAGATCGTAAGTAGCGTTTATTTAACTCTTCTACTGTGTCATTCCCTTATAAACTTTTAATTTATAGTTTTACAATGAAGATGAGGCCAAAAAATATACACAAAAGTAGGTTATTGAGCTTAAACTTTGCAATATTTTCGTTAATTAAATAAATTTCAGCTCAAGAATTATGGAAATTCAAGAGCAAATGTCTGAAAGAGCCATAGAACTTTTGTTATTGCCCGAAGACTCTCCCTGCTTTCTTCTAGATATTGGTTGTGGCTCCGGGTTGAGTGGAAGTGTTTTAGAGGACAATGGGCATTATTGGGTTGGAATAGATATTTCTACTGCTATGCTAGGTAGGAAATTACTTTTCTATTAAATAAAAATAATGTAAATAAATATGTTACAGAGATTGCAGTTCAAAGAGAAGTAGAAGGCGATTTACTATTAACAGATATGGGACAGGGATGTCCATTTAAAGCTGGCGCCTTTGATGGTGCAATATCAATATCGGCTCTCCAATGGCTTTGCAATGCAGACAAATCTCATCATAAACCCGTCCAGAGGCTGTATAAATTTTTTAGCACCCTCTATGCCTGTCTGAGTAGGTCCGCTAGAGCTGTTTTACAATTTTATCCAGAAAATGGGGAGCAAATGGAACTGGTAACTAGTCAAGCAATGAAGGCTGGATTTTATGGGGGTGTTGTAGTAGATTATCCAAATTCAACAAAAGCCAAGAAGTTTTTTTTGGTTCTAATGACTGGAGGGAATGTGCCTTTGCCTCAAGGGTTAGGAACTGAAAGTCAATCAGGTGGTAAGGAACAATAAATACTCGAATAAATATTTACATTATAAGATTGGAAATAATAATAATTGCTTTATTTAGACTTCATCTAATTTAGTACAAAAAATTTGATACTATAAATATTACAATACAAGAGATATAATAATTAGTTCACCTAGTAATACTACCGTCTTACAATGTGGAGATCAGTGGACAATTCTGAATTAACAAAATACAGCACAATTTTTTATTTTTTTTTTCTTCTCATTTGCATCATTCTCCCTTCAAGTATTCTTTAAGTCTCCCCTTAAACAATCCAATGGTTGGCAAGTTCTTTATCTCATTCGGCAATGCATTAAAAATTATTAACCCCTTATGGTATACTGCTTTCTCAGAAAGCGATTTATTCTTTTTTGCAACATAAAAATTGTCTCTATTTCTAGTTGCATAGTTATGAATGTCCCCACTGGTGATCAATTTATTTGTCAAATAGTCAGGTGTAATTCCATTTTTTATTTTATAGATAAAGATCATTGTTTGATACTTGACAAACCCTTCAACAGGTATTTTTTTTTTTACGGATATGCGCACTCGCAAGGAAATGTCCTATCACGCTCGAGAAGCGGCAAGTGCGCGGAAATGTCGGTGTATGTTGGTCTTGAAACGGTTCAGGTTGTAACCTGCAGGGAAAACCGTCGCAGGGAGTTTATTCCACAGCGATGCTGTTCTCCAGAGATATGAATTCTGATATAATGAGGTTCTTGGTGCCTCTAGTTTGACAGTAAATTCATGGTTACCGTCTGTTTGACGGGTTCGCCTGGTAGGTGCTACTCTCGGTGGAATCATACGTGCCAACTCTCCAGAGCATTTTCCGTGATAGTACCTGTAGAAGAGAGATAAATCGCCCACAGATCTGCGATGTTCGAGACCATCCAAGTTACGAGTAAGTGCGGGGTCATTGATCAGCTTGATAGCTCGTTTTTGCACGGTATTCAAAAGCATTAAGGTATGTTTGGGTGCTGCACTCCATATATGTGAGCAGTACTCCATAGTTGGTCGAATCTGGGCTTTGTAGAGTGTCAGCAATTGGCTTGGTGTGTACAGATGTCTTGTACGAAATAGCACCCCCAGCTTTTGGGAGGCCCTTTTAGCAATATCTGCCACGTGACTGTGCCAAGACATGTTGGTCTCTGCAGTAACCCCCAAGATGTTCAACTGAGTCTGTAATGTGACAGCACTTCCAGATAGCATGAAGTTTGGCTCACCGGTGCTGGTCTTTTTTGAAAACAGAGCTGCTTGGGTTTTCTGCGCGTTGAACTGTACAAGGTTTTTGTTACCCCAGTCCTCTATTATCTCCAGGTCGTTATTTATCTGCGATATTTGAGTTAGTCTAAGATGATGGAATTCACGTGCGGAAAGACCTGTGGGTGGTATGAGTGAGGAGACTACATTGCCATCGTCTGCAAAGCAATAAAGTGGATTTACTGTTTTATCTATGAGGTCATTTATGTAAATCAGGAAAAGAGTTGGCGAAAGGATTGCTCCCTGTGGCACACCAGCATTTATTTGGTAAGAGTTGGAGTTCTGGCCATCCAGTGCAACATAAATGGATCTGTCCTTTAGGTAACTTTCAAGCCAAGTGCAAAGTTTCGGCGATAATCCCATTGCTTTGAGCTTGTTGAGCAGATTTTTATGCCAAACTTTGTCGAATGCTTTAGATATATCTAAGGCAATTGCTCTTGTTTCACCCCGCAACTCAATCGCTTTTTGCCATAAGTGAGTGACGTATGTAAGTAAATCGCCTGTTGACCTATATTTTCGAAATCCGTATTGCTTATCGTTGATAATTTTGTACTTTTCCAAGTACTTGGTTAGGTGATTGTTCACAACTCTTTCCATTACTTTTGATATCACCGGAAGTAGAGCAATTGGTCTATAGTTTAACGGATCTGTCTTTTTTCCTTTCTTTGGAATGGGTTGTACTGCGGCAGACTCCCATGATGATGGATATACTCCTTGCCTCAAGATGTTTTTGAAATGCAGAAGGATCTGGATAGATTTTGTGTATGGTGCATTGAAAATAATATGTTCATAAACACTGGTAAATGTAAATATATTTGTTTTTCAAGATCTTTGAATGTATCAGTCAATGATTATTATTTGCATAACAATCTGGTTGAAAATGTTGAATTGATTCGTGATTTGGGTATCTTGTTCGATTCTAAGATGTATTTTGTTAAAAACTTTCAATTTTGTAGGAGTAAGGCTTTAAAATTGTTAGGATTTATTAAGCGCAATACCAAAGATTTTTATAATATAAACGCCTTAGTTACTTTATATACATCGCTAGTAAGATCGCAACTTGAAAGTTGCACGGTTGTGTGGTCTCCATTCTTCCAGGTTCACATTAACCAAATAGAATCAGTTCAAAGAAAATTTTTATGTTATATTGCTTACAAATTAAATATCCCTAGAGATAATATTGTTTATAGAGACTTGGAAATTTTACTTAAATTACAAACATTGGATAAAAGAAGGTGGAATGCAGACATTATGACCCTATATAGGGTTGTTCATGGTTCTATTGATTGCTCGTATATTTTGGCGAAACTTAATTTTCATGTGCCTCCTAGGACTTTGCGTGGACACAAAACTTTTGAAGTCAATCAACATCGTACTCGTTATGGCCAAAATGCGGCAATTGATAGAATGATGAAAAATTTTAATGAATTGCAAATGAAGTTACAAGTTGACTTATTTAGTGTATCCGAAATGAAACTAAAGAATTGTCTGAAACAACTGTGATATTATAGGTAAATTTTCAAAAAAAGCAGGGAAAAAATGTAAAGATGGGAATCTTAAATTTGGAAGTTGTATAGGTCTTTTTTATATTTTATATGTTTTATATTTTATATTTATTACTTTATATTTTTTTTTTTTTATATTTTGTTGGCAGATGTGATAGTCCAATTTGTAGATGTTTCATATAGTATATATTAAATTGTTTAATTGTTAGAATCAGCTTTAAAGCTGTAAAGTTGTATAATGGTTTACCGTTAATAAATAAATAAATAAATAAATAAATAAATAAATAAATAAATTGCCTGTAAGACAAATTGAATAATTTTGCGAAAGTTGGGGTGAGTTCGTTGGCGCAATTTTTGAGTACTATTGCGGGAATGCCATCTGGACCCATTGCTTTGCGCCAACAAATAAGAAATACCATGCAGTGTTTTTGACATTTTATGTCTTATGCGCCATTTTCTTTTGAATTTTCATAGTTTTTAATTCAGAATTCATCCATTTCGGAAATTTAGTTGAGTTAAATCTTGACAAGGGAGTAAATCGCTCAATGATCCCCTCCAGTACATCATAAAACAATTGGGATGTTCATTTGTACTGGTTTTCTTTTCTTGCTTCAAGCTGACCGGTGTTCACTTGTCCCATATAATAAGCTCATAAATAGCAGCAAATGAACAGCCACTACATTGACATCGGTAGATTCGGGAACAATTCCAGTCCACGCATGACAAGTTAAAACTTTGATTAAAATTAGAAATTAGCCAACTTTAACGTTGAGATAAAAATAGTCACATGAGTTCAGTTTGAATTGTTGTAAATAATGTTTAAAATTATTTTTGAATTTTCATAAAAGATCTTTCAAATATTTAATGCAAGAAATTAAGTACTTAATCCAGAACAATACAATAATACTATACGCATAATGAATTTGATTGATGCTCTTGGACTAAATTCTCAACCCTTATTTATGGAGTTTTTGCCTTATCCCGGGGCATCCCCAACAAAGAAATCATTTCTAGTAGGAATCTGGAATATCTATGGCGGCTACTATACCATATTGTTAAAATGTGATGTGGTATTTTTACAGGGATTTATCTATGAACAGAAATGGGTATATCAGATATAGGGACTATTTTTATTTCAGTCTGAAAATTTTATTACCAAACTGAGTCCAATAAAAAAGTCTGTTTTTTCTTTAAAGATAAAAGTCAAAATGACATTATGTTGACATTTCAATGTAAAATTGTCAATGCTTTCAAATTTTTTATGTAGAAAAGGCTTGCGTTGCCAACATAGTTACTAAATTTTTGACTTGGGGAATTATCTTTAAAAAAAAAATAGACTTTAGATAAAGGTGAAGTTGGAGTAGACGTTCGGACTGTTCGGAGCTGCTGCATTGTTTTGTTATTCCTGTTCTTCCCATCAAAAGGAAAAAAGATGCAAGATGCTCCGAGCGCTCAGTGTTTCAAGACGAACGGAAAGTCTGTCGCAAAATTAAATATAATTCCCCAACTCAAAAATTTAGTAAAGTGTGTTTTTTTTAAAGATAATTCCCCAAGTCAAAAATTTAGTAACTATGTTGGCAACACAAGCCTTTTTTGCATAAAAAATTTGAAAGCATTGACAATTTTACATTGTATTGCCAACATAATATCATTTTAACTTTTATTTTTTTTAAAATAACACACTTTAGCTACATTGTAGTTTGTACATATTAAGGATTTTTTAGCGACTAACCCTTTGTAACCGTGCTATAAACGGTAACAGAAATTAGACCTTTTCGGAAACGCTGATCTTATTAACCGAATCACCAGCTAATGTACTATGTCTTTTTTCAACCGTTTATAACACGGTTACAAACGGTTAGTCGCTTAAAAATCCTTATTATGTCGTCAACACACAAGGTTCCTTAAGTTCATAGGTTGTATGGTATGGTAATGGGTAACTTGACGCATCTGGGGTACTTTATGGAAGTTTGCATTATGTTGAGGCACCCCAGATGACGCCATTAAGTTATCAGGCTTATCAGACGCTCGTGGGAAAAAAATTTCCGCACTCGTTAAAAGGCTCGCTTTCCTCGGATGCGGGACGGGGACGGAACGGGTGCCGCAGACGTTGCCGTCATTAGAATATATAAGATGTGCTTTCCTAAGCAGCGGTGGCGCGACGGCGGCGGAGCGCAGTTTTTTTGACGCTAGCGGAATCACGCCACCGGTCGGACGGAGCACAACACGGACGGAAAATATTATAAACTGAAAAATGTCGAATTTCACAGAAGAGTAAAGTGAGTTGTTGATTCATTTAGTGAGGCAGTATCCTGTGTTTTATAATTTATCTATTTAAGGTAAACGCACTAGTAGTTGACATTATAGTGTCGGAAAAAAAGGTTTTTTTTTGCTTTTGTATCGAATTTTCAATTTTTCTTAGATAATTTAGTATAGTTTTGTACTATTTCCTTGTGAATAAGATAAAATTAAGTATTTTAAAAAATGGAAATACAGTTTTTGTTTAAGGAATTTTTAAAAAATGTTTAAAATTTATCAGTAGTTGACACTCAAAAAATTGAAAAATTTAGTAGTTGGCATATAATAGGTATTAGTAGTTGACATGGGAATGAAACGATTTTTTATGCTCATTACTTAAGTAAATTTTAATTCACAACATACAAAAACTAAATATAAACATGACAAGAGGGATTATTATTTTCAACCATCAACTTCAATGGGTGTCAGAAATTGCTATTTAAGTCTCTCTTCAGCAAGAATTATTTTGGGGTTTGGCAATTTCCTCAATATTTGGTTGAATTTTATGAAACTTAAGTATATCTTTCTCGTTTGGTTTGAATATAGTTTTATCTTCGTCACAACAATTCATAGCAAGAACTTCAGCTTCACTATTTTCAAAGATTTTTTGTACAATGCATACATATTTATAATTCTTAACACTGCCGGGAAATTTGGCTACTATATATTCACTTTCTTTATAACCATTCACTATTCCCTCATCAAGCTCTTCAATATTCTCTTCTTCAGAAGATACGTCATCCATACTACTCCCAG